ATTTTATAGGTAAACAAAAACAAAGTCTGATTTATTTTATTTTTTTCCTGTAGAAGTTTAGTATAAGCAAGTCTGTATTGTTCATATAGTCCATATACTTGCTACTGATACAGAAAATCATGCAGCTGGCATGCTTGAGTAGTCCTGGTGAAATTCATGTGAACATGTGTGTTCACCATCATTAAGTGTAATCTAAGTTAACAAATTAGTAGTTATACAGTACATGTAACACAGGTAGGAGAAAAATGCATTTTGTATCTGTTTCCATACAATTAGTGTAGAAAATATATGCAAGTATGTTCCTTCATTTCATTTTCAAATTATTGTTTAATTGGCTGTTGGCAGATTTGAATGGGTGGTGTACCGAACAGGATTTGGTCCAAATTCTTTGCTAATCTTATAGGTGTAGCTCTATAACCTATTATATTTGGTGGTTGAATAATTTGAAGTGATGTACTTGGTACTTTGTAGTGCTATGCTATTTTATTGCCACTGCTTTTTGGGCACTTTACGAAAATGTGTAGGTTAATGGATGGAATAATGATCTGAGAATAAGACAGAAGAGTGAACTACATACATGTTTTGTACAGTCACAGAGAGAAATACTTTGATAATTGAATCAAGTGCTTGATATGAAATAGTGCTAGTTGAGACAGTTTGCTCTACTGATGTATCACTCAGTTCTTGTGAGTTTAGCTCAAGAAACAGAAGAAACCAGAGAAACAAGGTAGTGTTTCATGCCTTCACTTTGTAAAATTACAGTACAAAAATCTGAAAACAAGATAGATAAATTAACTAGGTCTAAGGGAATTGGCTAGCTCTTCAGATAAGAACGTTGGATTTAAGGGAACTTAGTAATAGATCTGGCTCCTCTTCTGCTTTGCTGAGAGGAATCCGTATTTGCAAAAGTTTTAACTCTTCCTTGCCAACAAAAATACCTGTGCTTCTGTGTAAGGAATTTAGGGAAGGTTTTGCAGAATATAAGTCACCCAGAAATTTTGTGATGCATTTCAACCTCAGCTTCAAGACAATTTAAAAAAAAAAAAAAAGACATGAAGAGTGTTATGAGATAGATTGATTAAAATCACTTCAAAGAGGTAAGCCATAAGCAAAATATATATACTAAACGAATATAGTGAAAAAGATTACTTCTCGGCTCTCTTGTGCCAAAGTGGAAAACTTTTGATCCCAGTGATTACTTCGTTGGTTAATTTGGACAGAATAGTGGGTATCCCCAGCAGTTCTTACAATGAAGAAGTGTCTCACTAGGGCCATTACATTTCTGACCCAACACTGTCCTTTTTAAAATGCTTCTTGAAGTCAACTGTAGAAGCTGTCAACATAATATGTATTAGCTGTCGACTAATTTAGTTCTTTAATGGTAATCTGTTCTTGTGCAAAAAAAAAAACTAGTGCCTATGATTCTGAACTGAATTTTATATATAAAATATTGTTATATGAAAATTTGAAATTATTATTTTTACCTGTTTTCCAGTGAATTCAGAGGTTGATATACCTAGTTTAAAACACTGATACTTTGCGTCAAGTTCGTTAATGTGATTTTTAGGCTTTAAGTCTTTTTACAGTAGTCTTTGTCTTTAAGAAACACAGCTGCAGTGTAACCGAAACAAGCTATGTGGCAGCTACACAAGTTAGAAAACATTTCCATAAATGATCATAAAAAAATCCTACAGTAGTTTCCAGAAAGGGCCAGAGTGAACAGTTTACTGCTGTTTAGACCTACTGAAGCAGGCATTTTATTTAACTTTTCAAGGGTGTTTTATAATGACAAGCGTGTAGAAAAATAGTGTGTGTCTCAGTTCCCGCTGCAAAGCTAGCTGGACACTCTCTTTACTTTGTGCTTAGCTAAATATTTGTCTTGGAAGAAAAGAATTTAACAACATACAAAAGATACACTGTTCGAAAAGGTGCAAAGAATTAGTGAAATAGTCTTTTTTTTTTTTAATTGCCTCCCAAAAATACACTTGAACTAATATATAGAAAACTGAGTAAGAAGTCTAGGAAGTGCCAAGGAGCACATTCTGATCAGTTCGAAAGCTGATATTAGCAGCCAGTTTCAAGTTGTTAGTCCTCTCTAATCTAGTTTCCCATTCCTTTTCAGATTTTTCTAGCAAGAAAATACTGAAAAAAAAAAAAACCTATTGTGGTTATTTTTAAACTTCTTAGCCTGTCTAGGCAGCCATGCATCTTATAGTGCTCTTCAATTAGTTTTTTATCATTTGAGTTGATGACAGAGGTAATCTGATGATTGACTCTTGGTGGCTGGCTGCTATTTCAGAGGAATCTGCCTCACTTTGATAATCTTGCATTTCAGATATCCGATAAGGTTAATTTAAAAAACTGAGAAACAGTACCTGTGTATCACACTACTTCTTTCTTGTTATGTGTGTGGCCCTTGTGACTGTACTGTCTTGGATTCATGGATTTTGTTATTGAAATGGCAATGAGAGCCAAAGAAATTAGACATCCAGTAGATTAAGCAGCTTGTCCACGGTTGTATTGATTCAGTTCAGGTTATGTTTTTTGCTTCCCAGTTTATATTATGTTTCCTAATTTTGATACTGAAGTGTGTTTGTTTTTTTTGTTTTTTTTTTTTAATGCAAGTCTATAAAGAATTAAAACATCTTTACCCTAAGACGGTCAGATTTTCTTCTGAGAAGACAAAGCCACAGTAATTTTTCCCACTCCATAATGGATTTGACACTGTAATTGCTGGGGGACAGAACTTACATTTCAGAATTATTTCCATTTCCCTAGTCTGCTTCTCGTTCTGAAAAGTGCATCTGGGTCATGCACTTGAACTTTAAACCCTCTCTTTTATTATGTATGTTTTGAAAACACGTCTTTCAACCTTTGGTCCATGGATGTCTCTGAAACTGTGTTCTATTAGCATTTGTATAAGGACTTGTACAACACAACCTGGAGAATCGTTTAAACTATTGGAGAAGTGTGGTTGGCTCAGTGTTCTCACCCATAGGGTTTAACTTGCACTGTAAAGCCACAGTTGCAGATTAAGAACTATTGAGGGTCTTCTGACATCAGAATGAATAGCACATGGTTTATTTTTTCTAGTGCCTACACATTCTAAAATTATTGCCTGTAATGACTGATACACTAGCAGTGTAGGAATTTATAAATCTCTGTTCTTTTTTTAAGGAAATGTAGTAATTCAAATTTTGAATTACTTTTTTCTTCAAGTAGCCCCTCCACCCCCTTATCTATCTCTGTCCCCCATCCCTCCAATCAATAAAGATTCTAGAGTTGGATTAGGATATTGCAGTCATTCATTTTTCCTGGCCTCTCATACAACTCAGAATAACTCAGCATATCCAGTACTCCGGTTGTGAGCAAATCAGAAACGACTAATTATAGGTACTACACAGTACCGTTGTCTACAGTAGCAGCTTACGGAAATTCAGTATTCATCCCTAAAGCACGTGTCCAAATATTTGCCATTCCTTTGTAGATCAAATAGCTAGCTACTGCTATGTGTTTGAGAGAGGACTTGAATAAAATTAGTGTTATGGGAAAAATGTGAAACTTGACGTCTGCGAAGTCTTGATTCTTTTCGCATCTACTGTACAATGCTTTTCAGTGCGTCTTAATAGATAGTTATGGTTCAGTGCTCACCTCATGCTATACTGAGAACAATCCAGTTAATGTTTGCAGATCCGTGCATCTACCAGAGGCTGCATTTTTATTTCTAAAATCTGTTTTAAAGCTCTCTTATTCAAATGTGCACTTTCTGTAGAAAAGAGAAAGTTTTAATTACTTATGTTGTACATAAAACTTAGTCCTAAATTGGCAGTATACAGTATTGGCACTCCTTATTGTCGCCTTCCTTCCACTTCTCCCCTTCCCTGAGAAAAATGGGATGATTGACAGGTAATCACTTGCCATTTTATATATGCCCCTTGAAATAGAAAATTGTTCTTTATTGCATCTCAGAAATTTATTAAATACTTGACAATAAAAATGTTTAATTGTCAGTTTTCTGTGGATGTCCACGTAGTCCTTCCATCAAACTTTCAGTTAAAAGCTCCAATCCAATCTGGTTTTGCAGCTTGGGAACCACTGCTGCATTTTCAATCATGCAGCTTATTAGATGAGGGGGAAAGGAACTGTGTAAAATATAGTAGCTGTTTAAAGTGGAATGCATAGTTTTAAGAATGGAATGTATTGAGGTTAGATGCCTATCAGAAATTTTGTAGTATCTTTTACAAGTTTTATGTGGAATGCATCGATAAGGAAGTATTTCTATCAAATAGGTAAATGATGTTAAATAAGTATTATATTTTACTGATCTCACAATCTTGAACAAGCTCCAAATCATTTAAACTTTGCTTGATCTGTGGCACATCATTTTGTGTAGAGTAAGAGGTCTAATTATGAAAACCCTTGCACTTTCAGGAAGTTGGGTTCCCCCCCCCTTCTGTAGACTGGAACAGGCTTGCTCATGATTTTGAATGTAAATATGACTTAATTTCTGTTAAGACATCTGAGGGCCCTAAAAGCCTTGCTTTAGTGATTGGGATGGTACCAGTGGAACTGTGGGAAAAGGCTCCCTGTTGCGGGCAGTTGCAGAGAAGGAAGAAACAAATGTGTAAGAATTAATTTAGAATAAAAGAAAGCAGAAACAGACCTGTATTACAATTCTCTCATCTCCTAGAAATGTTTTTAAAATATCTATTTCATATAAGCGAGTTTGAAGTACTTTGGATGATTTATTATGTCATCTGTTGGTACTGATTAGCAAGATGGAAAGTGGCAATGTATTTATGTAAGCCATGTTTGAATTCTTAAAATGTTTTGGTACCATTCAGGTATATAATTTTGAAAAAATATGCTTGTCTGTTAATGTATCCTGAAGTATTATTGTTGCTAATATATTCTTATTTTTCTGCTTTGCTTTTGTGGACTGTCGTCTTGGGAATAATTCTGAAACTTCCCATGTTTCTGATGAACCTCTTTCGATGCAGTTCACACGATTCCTCTGCGATTCTCCGCTTGAGGTACGTATGACTTTTACACCTAAGTGGTATTATGGTATTTGTATCATCACCAGCTGGTAAGGAATTATTATGGAGTTATCAAAGGGGTCTGTGGAGCTGGGTAATGAGCTACCACTGAATTTCGTATCACTGCGTTAAGAAACAGTAGCAAAAATGAAATGGTATATTTTTTCTGGGTTTTTGTGTGTGTGTGAAAGAAAAGAATATATTACTAAATAGCTTCTCTTAGCTCAAATTGTGGTAAAATGCAAGTTCAAGTTTAGGAGAATTGGTGTTGCTTCGTTTCCAGTAAACAAACTGTAGGAGACTTGTGGCGCTGTTTTTCTTGTTAGTCTTAAAAGAGTTAACTACTGCACGACTCTAATGAAATTTTCAGGTTATAGTAATTACACTAGTAATTTGATATGTTGCAGTTTGAATGAAGCCATGTGTGGAGAGTTTGTTGCTTTTCTTTGCTGAGTCCACTTGCCTTTACATTCCTGAAAGCTGAAGAGTAATAGAGCTCATTAGACTTTATAGGAAAAGGGCTTTTATCACCTCGTCAACTCTAGCAGCAGATTTCCATTATATTCTTAATTTTGTATGGCTGCATAGATGTTGATGCACGCTTCCCTGCCAGGTTTATACCAGTATTGTTTCTTACAGACACTTTTTATTGACATTTCTAAGCTTGAATTAAATTTTGTGTGGCACCACTACAGATGTCTTCAATTAGATGAAGTTAAATAAAAGGCTTATATATCAGAGGCCACGGGATTCTTGAAATTCTTTATCCTAAAACAGTTGCCACAAGCAAAACTAGTAGTGTGTTGTCTGTTTACTCTTTTGAGCAAAAATAATTTCAAATATTTTCAAACCAAGTTTAGTTTACATAATTTCAATTTGAATTTTTTTGAATTTTTAGTATTACTACCCAAACTCTTTCCTTTCTCCTCTTCCCCCCACTCCCTTATTTCATTTAGTCTCAGTTTTGGCTATTGGCTCTGTAACAAAAACAAAAAGAGTAGTTCTAAAAAGTTATACACTATGTAGTAGCAGAAAACTAGGCAGTTTTCTAGCAGTAAAGAGATACTGTAGAGAACTGTTCGTTTGGTTTTTGTTTCCTCTTCCTCTCCTCTTAGAGAATGAGTTTAAACATTTGCCATTTTATCACTTTCACAGACGTAAATACTACCTTGTTTGGAAAGACGAGATTATAATGGCTCAGTATAGGAGAAAGGCTTGCGTGAGTCTACTGAAGCGACAGTGTGGTCTGGTACCCTTTTGCTGCATAAGCTGGAATATTTATAGATGGAGGGTAAGGCCCAGGGAAAATCTGAACTGGTCAGAATGGATTAGTTTTTTGGTAAGCAGTGGGTTAAGGGTGCTGTGTGCCAGTGGTGCTATCAGCATCGTTAATAGTCATCTCTGCACTTGTCCTTCCTGAATTGTTCTATGGTGTCTTAAACTCATTTTTGTACTTTAAACCCAGAAAAGGTACTGGTACAAAATTTTCTGAACTTAATGCTTGAGAATATAAATGGTATAAATGGATCTTATAGGATTTATCACTGCCTCCTCATAATGAATTAAATCTATATTGTATCATTTCAGTCATCTCTTTCCTAAGCTGAAGAGCCACAGCTTTTTCAGACTGTGTGGAAGTTGTTCATATTTCTGATCATCCTTTCAGCGTTTTTTTTAGACTCTTTTTTTTCTGTTTCTACAGTCTCATATCTGAGATGTGATGATTGGAACTAGCCTCAGTATTTAGATGCATGATGGCATTGCACAGTAGAATGATGACTTTTTTTTTCAAATCCTTCCGTAATTGCTCTTCAGTCGTCTTGCATTTTGACTAGTGCTGAGCATTATATTTATGTTTCCATAAAACTACCCTCAGTATCTCAAAAAGATCTTTTTTTAGTGTGAAATGCTAATTTATACCCGTTTTTTTGAATGTGTATATGGCAGTGTTTTTTCCCATGCACTTTGCATTGGATTTATGAACGTTTGATGTTTCTTCTGCATCTTGAATCACTCAGTATCATGGGTTCTTTCTGCAGTTCTTTGCACTCCTGACCATGCTGAATAATTGTAAATCCTTAGCACAGCTTGTTGCAACACTGTTGAGTCATCTTTGGTGGATCACCTATGAGTATGGAGAACAGAATAGGTTCTGTAACTCAGTGAGCTTCTCTTCATGATATAAATGATCATTTGTTCTTACTTTGGTTTTTATCCTTATTGAGATGCTTGTTGAAACTTAAAGAACTGAAAGATGTTTGTGCATCTTTTCTTTTTTCAAAAGCATATTGACTTCTGCTCAAATTTAATATGCTTGTTAATGTATGTGTTAATTCTTAGGAGATCTAATAGCAAACATTTATCTGATGTGGTTATGAATCTGTAACTCTCTGGATTACCTCCTGAAGAACATCACGTTTCAGTCATGTTCTGTGTCCTTCTAGGGAAAAAATCAAATGTAATTTATTTTCTTTTGAGAACCTAGTAAATTGCTTTGATTTTTTTCATGGGTGTTTTTCTTGTCTTTGTGGCAGTAACCAGTCTCTTGCTACTAAAGTCCCTTGTGTCTTCACACCTACCCTAATCTTTTTAGCATTTTAAACTTACTGTCAGTGTTCTGGTTAAATAGTTGACAGTATAGCTCTAATAGTATAATACTATTTCCTATTAAGGTGCAGAAGTTAGCTCTGTAGAGCTAGTGTATTACATTTTGAGGCAGTTAATTTATTTACTTTGTTGCAAAATGGTACACTTTGTTGTTGTTGTTAAATGGGAACTGCCACCTCTCTGCTGACAGAGCTTATACTTGTAAGCTGGTTTTATGGCTTTCCCACTAATCCATAATGAAAGGAGGACATAGAGAAAAGGAAATATGTTCCTAACCAAGAGAGATAGAAATCTACCATGAGGTAGATGTGTGTTTGTATGCCTGAAAGGACCTGCTGGAATTAATCACTTCATTTCTTTGGCAAGTAATTTCCACTAGAGTGAAGAAGTTAGGGGCTTCCTGGTTTTCTCTGTAAGGAATAGCATGTATTTCATATCCTTCTCCCTTCATCCACAGCAGATGGCAAAATGGAAGTGTTCAAAGTAGAAAATTGAAATGATGTTGTCGTGAAACCTTCTAGTAACAAAAAAAAATGCAGTTGTCAGAGTTAGGAACTGTTTTTGGTAGGTGATTGTGCAGAGCCTTCTGCAGTTGCATGCTCGTCGGGCATTGTGGTTAATAAGCATAATTAAAATACAGTAAAACTTTCTTAAAAGTAACAAAAAGGACTAATGTGCTTTGAAACAAATTGAGCATTCTCAACATTACTGAAACTTCATTTTAAGCAATAACACTGAGAAGTACTGATTGGCAATATGCAATGCAAGTTGATACTAAATATTAAAATTTTAATACTACACTATAAAATAAGAGAAATCAACTGTATCGATAGAATCACTAGCTAGTAGAGTACGAATACAGGTAGAATTAATTTGTGATAGAATATATTGTATTTTTTCTCTGCGATGTAGTCTAAACTTTGGGGAGGAAATAATTTGCTTTCAAATTTTTGTCCTGGATTGAGTTCTTAAGATGCTGAAACAATCAGAAAACCTGAATTAGATTATATAATGCATCATATTCAAGTTTGAGTATAAATTTTTAATTTTAAACAAGTTGGCCCCTCAGCATTGATTTTTTTCTGCAGATTTGGAGATGTTACATGTTTGTTTGGAAGTACCATGTAGCCTAGAACTAGGCAACAGAACTATCTACATCCCTATCTGCTGATAAAGGCTCAGTCAAACCCTTTACTTTTATATAAATTGAAGAAAATAAGTAACTTTTAGACCTTATTGAAAGAAAACATGAGGCAGAAATAGCTATGAAAACTGTAGGTTTTTCATAGTCCCTAGTCAGCACATTTAACTGTGCCTTGACTCTCTTAGTAGACTCTTTGTTTTAGTGTTTACTCCTTTAACTTCTTTAATAAATATAAATAAAAAAACCTATTAACTTTTAAGTTTCCCATTTCTCTTTTACATGTGTTCTGTAGAATGCTTGAGTTTTTTGTTTGTTTTTTTAAAAAAAAAACCTGGAAGCACTGATAGTTTGCACCTCACTGGTTAGGGGAGTAGGAGAATATTATTTCTAATCTCCCTTGATTTCCACATTAATAATGCCTCTGATATTATGTTTGTTGACTCATTGATCATAGAAATTGAGGCATTTGGTGGCCAGAATAGCTCATGTTTTTGTAGTAGAAGGACTAAGGTTATTATTTCTGGTTGATAAGGTGAGCCATCTCTGGTGGGACTTGCTCAACTGGTGTCACGTATATTTTACGTTACCTTTAACAAACGTGGTCCCAGGAGAGGGGATATGTCCTGTGGAGGAGGAGATGTCAGTAGTGTGAAATGATATAACCTGTTTCAAGAAAGTGCTTTATATTCTAGACCTATTATGTGTCAGATTGCTGGGGCAGTACATAAGAAATCACACTGATGGAGCCAAGTATTCATTGAGATATTGGAGAAAACATAATACCTACACAAAGGATCATGTTGTATAAAAACTTTTCAATGGGGAGGAAAATTGTTTTTTAATGTAATTTATTTGACGTAATGGAGATCTCAGAACATTTTACCTGAAATCAGTGCTGTGCATATGTTCATTATAAAACATAGCCTCTTTTATGTATATAATATTCCATTGTAATTAGTGAAGCAACAGTGTAGTTTTTATCTTACTAAAAGTTCTTACCTGATGGTAATACTTCAGTTTGCAGATGTCTGCTGACTGAATCCGTACTACACCCATTTTAAGGTATGTGGTTCTCCCCAGTCAGACAGACACGTTCTTTTAGCTTCAGAAGACTTTACTTTGTTTGTTTGTTTTTTCTCCCCTGTTTTGTTATAGACAATTTTCTTCTAATGCTCATTAAATCCTATACAGTAAATTTTTGACTCTCCCAAACTATTTAATTGGGTATGTAGTTTTATTGGATATGCATAACTTACTCTTAACTTCATTGTCTTGTGTTTCAGAAAAGTTGGAACCAATACAGTTTATAAGAAATCCAAGTATTGCTTTTGAAATTATGTAATACAGAAGTGTGATACAGCTTTGTTTGCTAAATTCACTGTGCTGAATTGAAATTCTGTAAAGGGTATGAACAGAAGCTTTGCTGGACAATGAACTTGAAATATTACAGAGCTCATTGATGTCACTCTGAATGCGTTTCAACAGCTGTCCCCTTTTTAAGGGTATTGCAGTAGACGTTGGGGTGCTTGGAAAGAGCAGGAGGAGATGCTGCCTGGGTACAAGGTTTTGGCATACCAAAGCTGAAAGTAAGTTGTAGCTGATACAAATAGAGTATTTGCCCTGTTCTAGTTCACGCTTGAGATTGTGCGCATTTAGAGTGGTAGAAAGCCATTGTTGGTGCCTCCCTGTCTCTCTTTCTTGAGCTCTAAGAACAGCTTTGGTTGCTCAAAGGAACTGCTGTGTGCGTCACGTACCATTTTGTTTTTCTGAGTGCTAAAATAAATCACCACTGAAAAACAAATCAGTCAGTCTGACTTAGAAATCTTAGGAATATGATTCAGTGTAAGACCTATGTAGGTTTTTGCATATGCGTGAAGGAAATTGTTTACACAAGGAAATAAAATTCCTTTTACTTGGTAACTTTTTAAGCAAGCCTGCATTTCCCATTGATTTACGTAGGCTGTCTATACCTTTTTTACTGTCGCTTTGGTAGCTGACAAGTGCACTTAACCTGTGCTGAGAAATCCTTAGAGAAGTTTCTTTTCTCAAACTTTGACCAAGTCCCTGCTTGACTGTGTCCCAGTTTGAAAATTTTTGTACTGACCTCATGTTGTCTCCTTTGCCTCTACTGAAAAGCTGAGGATGTTGTGTGAAAATGTAACTACTAAATAAGTAAACCTCTCATAAATGAGGAGAAAACCCACCTTAACGTACTAATATCGTAGTCTGATATCCTCGTGTACTGCAGAATACTGCTCTCGGATATTTGATCATTTCATTTTTACAGTGTCTGTAGCTACATAGCTAATTTTATACTATAAAATTGTGTATTAAAAAGTCAGATGTTTTATTACATGGCCTTTATTTTGGGAGTTACTGGTTGGATAAGCCAGTTGAAATATTTTTTGTTCATGTGATTGATTTCTTTTGACACATATGGTAACAATTAGAATAACTTCTACTGACCATCATCTTGTCAGTCTACGCTACTGTATCAAAATACTTGATTAAACCCAGTTTCTGTTGTTGTAATGCAAAACAGTTGGTAATAGTAGGTAATATTGTCAGATTTATTGAGTGAGAAGCAGCTTTCTGAAGATCTGGCAATACAGTGAAAAACATGACTGGATGGATAATTTAGTTGAGCAGCGTGGAATTCAGGATTTCAGGATTAAAGTAAACTTGGCATTAGAGAAGATGGCATGCCAAAATGGATTGTGTAATAGAGTTTACATTAGGAGACCATTTTCTTCTTAGTTTGAAGCTTTGGTTTCTGACTTTAGGCGCTTTACTGAGTACGGATGCATGCTTTGCTACTTGCTCAGAGGCAGAATACACCACAAGAGTAAGTTCCTGGATGTTTTCGCAGGAGATGCGCTGTTGTGGGCTGACAGAAAACAAGCTCTGCTGATTCCCTTGCAACAAAGAGTTTGAGATTCTTAGATGAAAATGATTTAGTTGGTCCAAATAAACATAAACAGTAAGCCTTTCAGTTCTGTCTGTAAATGCTCTTCTCGTACGGTTTTAATGGACAAACTGAACGGAGAAACAGAATTTCTGTGGCCAAAGGGATTCACTTCCAGTGCTTGGGGGAGGAGGACGGGGGCGGGGGGACAGTTGTAACGCCTGACTTTCAGGTAATTGTGAGGTAGAGGTAAGTCAAGCATTGTCTGGCTTTCTCCTGAATGTGGTTATCTTCCCCCACCTGCTTGCCCTCTCTCTCCTGGCATTGGTGGTTACTGGAAGTATGGAGAAAAACAGAGTGGCATCATTAGCTGTGACAGGACACGTTGGAAGAACTAGACAGTTGCAGCCAGCTTGAGGAAACACTGACAGAGTAACGTAATACCTACACTTTACTTTTTGCAGCCTTCGCGCTTTGTCTTGTTAAAGAGTTAGCAGGCCAAGATTAAAGGCCAAACTGGGAAAAAAGAATATCTGCAGAATTTCTATATATGTAATCATGCATTGAAAACTTGATGAATCATATTGCCCTCTTACCAGTCTTTTGCTATACTCTAAATGCTCAGTGGTCGGGGCTGTTTTCAGATTCATATTTGTGTGTGTGATATATAGAGTTTACTGATCATAAATACAATAAAAACCACAATGCTACCATCTTCCCTGCTACTCTTTTTTTTTTTTCTCCTTTCTCTATATACTCTGTGGATCACAGTATATCATATTTCTCACATGACTGACTTTTCTTTTAAAAATCCTCCCTGAAATCTTTTTTCATGTTGCAAGTCTACTGCTGAATTACAGATCCCTTTTTTGTTATGTTTTGTTTAGGCAGAAAATCTACCAAATGGACCAGATTGTGGCTATGGTTCTTTTCACCAGCAGTATTGGCTAGATGGGAAGATAATTGCTGTAGGTGTAATCGACATCCTTCCCTACTGCGTGTCCTCTGTGTATCTGTACTATGATCCAGACTACTCTTTCTTATCTTTGGGAGTCTACTCGGCATTACGGTAAGAAGACATCCTTGTTCTTCAGTCAGACAGTATAGTAATAGTTGGTGCTTTTTCCTATGTTTGAGCTTTTGATTTTATTTCTATCACAAACATAGTGGGAACACTAGCAAAGTTTTTATTTATTTTATATTCTCTACAGGTGGTTGCATTCCAAATATATTTTTAATAGTCATCTTTAATTAGGCTGTATACTTTAAAGACTAAGAACACAGAAATGAAGTACCTAGTTTTTATTCACCCAGAAGAATATTTGTTATTGCTTGGTTTCAGCAAGAAAACATGCTTTTTTGTTTGAGTAGGAGTAATTTTCCCTTTGACTCTTTTCTTAGCTCCGTCACTGAATGACATTAATTATTTTTTATAGCTGTATGCGCACTGAGATCATAAATAACAAAGTCCCTAAAAAATAGTTGTGTTCTGAATTAATAGTTTTCCACTGCAGTAGCATTAAGTATGTTTTCAGGTATGATAATCTTATCTTCAGAAAATTTGATGGGATAATCCTATGAATTTTAAAGCCTATATTGATTATCAGCCTAGTTTGGTGTCTGCAGAACAATGGAAGTAGCAAATAATGCATTCCTCTGGGAATAAGATATGACTGGTAAATTGTAAGCTTCTATTTTTCTCCTTTGAGCAATTTTGATTCCATTATTATTAGAAATAAAAAACAGAATGAGTGGAAATATTTGTACATCTCAATTGTTTGTTCGCTTTTTCACTGCTTCTTTGCTGACATGTAATAAGCTGGTCACAGGCACGTGAGAGTTCCCCAGAGAGATCCTAATGAAGTGACTGGGTTTGGACCATATGTCAGACCTGCCTATTCTCAAGTTTCTATAGGTCTGAGAAGTTCTAGCAAAAATCTTTGGCTTTTCAGACTAGTAAAAAAAATTCTGGTACTGTTGTATGCGATAGGAGCTAGCTTTCCTGCTTCTCCAAGGCATCCTGTCTGATCATGCCTTCTCTGCAGATGGAAGCTTCTTAGCTCCACCAGTGTATAGTTTTACCCACCAGACATGCATGATTTTTTTAAAAAGGAGTGTTTTTTATTTTTGTGTGGGGTTTTTTTTGAAGTATCCTGTTAACTGTTACTTCGTGTACTTTTGTAACAACTAATGAACTGCATGCAATTCCATCTTTCAGAAGCCTAACTGCTGTTTTTTAAAAAAAAATTATGATTAGTATCTTTTGATTTCCTAAGAACTTTTTTGAATTCTGCTTTTTGAGCGTGTATTTCTCTTCATAATGGTGAATTTTGTGACTTCTGAATAAACTTTCCAAGGACTGTTCAAATGGCAAAGGGTCTCCCCGACAGAAGTTTGCTGTTGAAGTTGCTGACATCAGTCTAAGGATTTAATGTTGGTGAAGTGAGGTCCTGCAACTGAGCTTCTCTCCATTGTTGGTGAAATGAGGTCCTGCAACTGAGCTTCTCTCCATCTCTAGTATATTCTGGGCCCCTAGCAACCATACACTTAGTCAGTTTAGTTTACTGATCAGAGCACCGTTTGCCTTTGCAACGTGGTTAGTGAGCTGAATTAATTGGCTCATTGAAGAGCGTGTTAGCACCGGAGCTGGTGCGAGAGCTGTGGTGGGACCACGCAGCTGGGAATGAGTGTCATGGGCATTAACATGACTTTTGGCACCTCCGTTGGTCTATGTCTAGAAGAGTCCGAATTGGTCATTTTCTGATGCGATCAGTAACACTAGCGTTTTCATAAAATTAATTAGGTTCACAAATTGAGAGAGGGGGAAAGAAGCGTGAACTCCTCTGACTTAAAAATGACCTTTTTTGTATCTGAAATCTTAATACTTAAAATTTGACTTATTTTTTTCAATTCACAATAAAATACTGAATCTTCCTGAGAGTTATTTTCTAGTGTTTGTATGCATCACTTTGTGGAATAATAAACTGACACAATCCAGGCTTATGAATTCTTGAAATGATTTTAAATTTTCTGCATAATAAATTTTGAACTTTATGTCAATGCAACACACTTGCATGGCTCAGCTAGTGAAAAGGCAGATTATAAATTCTGCTGCATTTAAGGCAATAAAAATGAGTTCCCAAAAGTCTTAGAGGGAGTGTGCCTTGTTCTCCTTTCAAAAAAGGAGGGGGGAAAAAAGTCTGAGACTTAGGGAGGATTTAGGGAGTTGCGAAGGAATCTGATACCTTAAAAGCTGTTACCAGTTTTACTCTGAGGAGGTTAAACTGCATTGTAGTCCTGTCACTTCCAGTGCATGCTATTTTGAGAATTTCTGATGCTGAGTCGTAGAAAGGATGAGATTTGATGATAATTTGAAATATATAGGAATGTCAGTGAAAAATAAGGGGAGAAGAAGCCGCTTGTGAAAAACCAGTCTTACAAGAGGAAAAAAGCTAGGCAAAAAATAGTGAGGTTTCATTCTTAGTTGCAGGACAGGAATGGTTTCACAAACCTTTCCCCTACTACCTGAAATCATTAATAGTAAGCAGTCATAGTATTCATAATCTCTCTTTTGTAAGAAGGCAAATACTTGCACTTCTTTTGCAACTGGGTTACGTAGGATTGAAGTGTTAAGTCTGAATTTGACGTGAAATGAATACGTTTATATAATGGAATATTGCTTATTAGTTAACTACTCTCGCTAAGTGTTAATAGCCATTGTAATTCTTCAAATGTGTATCGTAACTGAAAGGTTTACTAAAAGGTAATTACAGATCTGTCCTCCCTTCTCCATAGGAATGATTTAGGCAGAAAGAATGCCTGTAAGTGTTAGTTATGTGATACAGTCACATCTCTTGGCTGTACCCGGTGACGTATGTAGTAAGAGCGTTCTCTTGTGTTGGATCACAGTACAGGCTTGAGCCCTGGCGGGGAGAAGCATGCGCTCCCTAAATCCTGTGCAACGTTACTCTTTTTTTCTCATCAGCTTTTGGGAAGCCGTAGGCTTGTGTATGGTCGGTTGTTCAGTATGTAGTGAGCTTTGGATCATGCCAGGAAGCTGGAAGAAGCCACAATTGTGTCATGAGACTGCACGAAATTCTGGTGCTTCACCAGGGCACGTGAGAGTTAGGGGAAAGAAAAGAAAAGGTCTTTCATCGTTCCTCTGGAAAAGCTATGCTTGGAATGGGCTTGGCTGAACAGGTAAATGAAATATACAGCAAGGTCTTGAATAAGAGGGTCTCTATCTGGAGTGCATTGCTGGACGCTGGAGTACATGTGAGGACGCCCGCAGTGGTTCTAAGCCATGTGGCTTTGGTGTCATGTGGAGTAATTCAGTTTAGCCCTTAGCAAGCTTGGACAAAGCTTTGTTGCCCTTAGTTAGACTGCTCCTGTTCCCAAGTTATCTCATTACGCTGTGGTCTACTTACTACACTTTGAGTCTTTTCGTTTTTGTCTTATTAAATCAGACAGTGTAGTCCAATTGCAAACAATATCTAAGCATATTTGAAGTGTAAAGATAACATTTTCTTCCTGAAGCATTTCCCTTTTTTTACACGAACTGCACCAAGATTTTGTTAAATTAGGTCCAGGATAATCTGCGTGATTAAGGTTGTTCAGGTTGTTTAACTTCGTGCTATAATAGTTTTAAAGATTATACATATGTGAAGCACATATTGGTATGTTTTTGGTAGTACATAAATCTCACTTTTATCATCTGTTGTGTTTACTTGGATTTTTCAGATGTGGAATGACTTAATTCTAGCAATTCTTTTGGAAAAGGATGTGTATAGATACATAATTATAATAAATTTGTGATGGACTCAGCAAAGTAAATGCAACCGAAAACAAGTAAATGTTAAGTTTTCGGTACATTTGAACATCCTCATTACTAACTTGATTTTGAAGTGATTAAAAAAACATATTTGTACGTGCTTCCTACATGCACGTTCTCATAGCCTCTTAAGCATTGAAAGTAATAATTTAACATCCCTCTTTGGTCAAATTTGATACAAATGGTCAAGATTCAAATGCTGTAAAGACAAGCATTGTAGTGGAAACACTGGCAGAATCTTTGTAACAGCAATACTTGCCTAGTGCCAGGACAATAGACAACTTACTGTGGAATACATTTATGCTTCTTTTTCAGAATAAATAAGATCATACAAACAAACGTGAGATAGGCTTAAAAAAAAAAAAGCTTTTGTTGCATGAAGGTGGATGTTTTTGCATGTAAATTGCTAGATTGCAAACAATAGAACAAGCAAGAGGCTTATCCTTGAAGCTTGTTGGGTTTTTCTTAAAATCCTCTGATGTTTCCCTGAGCTATGTTAGCCTGTGTGTGAACAATAGCAGCACTAGATTTTTGTGGAATACCGAAGTGCATGAATGTTAAGAAGAAACCTGTTAAATAGAGGCTTTTAATCACCTGCTGTTTGAATTTCACGTCAGTCACTTGGCATGGCAAACATGCATAAATGGAGGTTTTATAGCCTATGATTTTGTTTGTTTGTTTTCAGCATTACTTTTGAGCTTGTAGTCATCTTTGTTTACTTGATTGAAGTCTAATTCTTTCAATGGTTCAAGAGCCAGATAAATGTAAAATATTTCCTTTATGAAGAGGTAAAATAAATGTAAGAACTGAGTTCATAACTAATTAATCTTTTTTCTTCACTTTCATAGAGAAATTGCTTTTACTAGGCAACTCCATGAAAAAGCTCCTGATCTCCGTTTTTATTATATGGGTTTCTACATTCATTCATGCCCCAAAATGAGATACAAGGTAAAGTGTGTTTTTACTTATTTCCTTGGTGTGCTATTTATTCAAAGTGTTTGACAGTGTTCCTAGTAATATAATATCTTGTGATTGTCTTTTTTCATTTTAATGTTGACTTCATGCATTTAAATTTGAATATTGGTTACTATTTAACTTGGCTTTTTTTTTTTTTAAATTTAGCTGCATGTGGTATTTATTACGAGTTGGCTTACGAGCAGTTCACATGGAGAGGTTTTCCAGGCTGTCGGATAATAGCTTGTCATTTGGTTACCTGGGTATCTCATATTTACAATATACCTGGCAATAGTCTAAAATTCCTTTTCAGGTTTGAATATTTGGGTAAATGTTGCTTAATGACTATGGTCTGACCAGTCTGTCACCCAACCTCCTTTGTAACTCTTGTTAGCCACAAATTTGCTTACCCCTGAGTGCCTAAGGGTTTCTCTCTTCTGTGCTTTTTAGACCTCATAAAGGTACTATGTTTTCTCTGTAATGTGGATAGCTTTTTGATTATTACTATCCTGCTTCAGTATACTGAATTGAAATTTGCCAAACACTTGCACGCAGTTAAATATATCTGTTAATAAATTGTTTTCTGTAGCTGTTTCTAATATGGAAATACAGCTCATAAAACAGGATTTTCATGATTTTTGTTTTGTTTGCAAGCATGCTAAAAGCTTTGCAGGTTGTGGGGGGGTTTTCTCTGTTTCCTTCCTCTTCTCTGTTTCCTTCCTCTTCTCTGTTTCCTTCCTCTTCTCTGTTTCCTTCCTCTTCTCTGTTTCCTTCCTCTTCTCCCCAAAAATTTAGGAGGGTTCATTGAAGTGATGGATGTGATGGAAGAGCTATTTCAGCTTTATTATGGCCTATGCTACAGGGGACCATATTAATTCATTTTTCTGAAAGTAACAAATTCCGCCTTCCCTCCCATTTTGTTAAAAAGACGTTTGTCTCTTTTTCCTTTACCAACTTGAGCTTGTTATCAACATCTGCCAGCCAAAGCCAAGAGAATATTAACTCTGCAGCAAACCAACTGGTGAATTGGAAAATGCTACCTCTGTAATCTAAATCTTCTTAAAGAATATCCACATCACCATCTTGAATCATGAGTTCCGATTACTTGCTCTACTCTTTGGTAAATATTAAAAGATTTGAGATGATTCATTCATATTGAGACACTGCAGATTAACATCCCTTGTCTATTCTACAGCCTGTGTAGTTCAAGACTTGTAAAGAGAATGCATTCAATTTACCAGGGCTCTTCAGTACGAAAAGAAATTAACCTAACTGTAATGAAAAAATATCCCAGTTCTTTAAGATATCATTGCTAAGAAACTTTTGGTTCAGCCATTTGTTTTAATAAACTTTGTGTCCTTGAATTAAACAAAGCTCATACATGAGTTAACGTATTACAGTAGCTAGGAGGCTGTTAAGATGTGGAGATTAAATGCTATGAATATGGAACTTAACTTCAGTAGTCATTTATATTCCTTATCACAATGTAGTATCTCTTCTATTGAGACTGTACTATTGTTTGAAAATCGTGTCACAAATACAATTTTGAAGAGATGCTTCTAATTTCCACACTCTACTCATGGAATTTGAATGAGGTATAGTGGGGTTAATTAAAACTTTTTTGCACGTTCTAATTCCTTAAACTTGTTCTTCTGCCCTTGCTTATACCTGATGCTGCTCTGACATCACTGTGATCAGTATAATACACAGTTTTCTGGAAACCTGTCCACATCAACGTACTTAAATAATTCAATATGGCCCAGTATGGAGATAATTCTAGCAGAGGTGGAGGAAAGGGAGAGGAAAGAAACCGACATGTACTTATTCAGAACACATAAAATAGCAGGTGAGGGAGTGCTCTCTGTTGGGAGAATAATTTTATTAAATGTGTTGCAGTGATTCCCCCCCCCCCCCCCCCTTTTTTTTATTGGCTGAATATATCATTGAAATTCCAGTTGATGTTAATTCTGTAGCCTTTATCCTCATTGAAACAAATTTTAAAACTAAGTTTTGAAGTGCTTCTGGATAGTGCTACTACTCTTGTGAACTGATTAGTAGTGGTAAAGTGGTGACTTTGCAGATTAAGTAATTTAATTTATGTCTGCTTGAGTTACTTGTATTAGGTATTGAAGACTTTGCTTGGTTCCAGTTTAACAGAGATATCAGAGGTCGCCTTCCCTTAATGACATTAGTCTGGAAAAATGAAAGGAAATGGGTGGACATTGTTAAACAGATGTAATGGTAAGCAAATTAAATGATGAAGGAAGGAAAAGGAAGGGGCTGAAGAACTAATTACTGTTTCTTATCCTCTGCTTGTACTGTACTTTGCAAGTTATATGTCCTAGGATATTTGGAAATGGAGGCTAGGCACAGTGTTACCTGTTTACCTGAGCAGTGACTTAAGAACATTTGCATGCTATACTTGTTTACTACGAAGTCACTAGATTTTGGAAAGGGTTGTACTGGGGGCCAACTCCTTCCTTCTAGTCTCCGATTATGATCAGTAGAAATGCCTAAGCTAACATTTGCCTTTGATTTTTTGAAGAAAACACTGTACTGGAACTTTTCCAAGCAAAAACACCTTAGCTTGACTACTGGTTTGCTTCTCACTGTCTGCTGGAGCCTGCATTTGTTAGTGTGGGTACTCTTTGCAGCTAGCATCCTCCCTGCCGATTGAGGGACAGCTGATGAATCGGGATGTAGAAGGACTAGCGACTTCATGATGTTGATTTAAGGGGTTTGACAGTGTTTCACTTTACACGTGAAGTAAAATTCAGTCTTTTGTACAGGACATGGCTGAAATAATTGGAGATCTGTGCAATGAACTGTTCTGCTCACTTATAATATAATCCAGGACTGATGCATTAGTATTGTCCACAAAAGAGCATAGAAAAGTGTTTAAGTTTTAAATGCACGTGAGTCCTAGTTTAGATGTACAAATATTCAATTGTAGCCATTAAAGACTTGTTCTGTATGAGTACTTTTTTGGAATGCGAAATCTAGACATCTCTTTTGGATTCTCATTTTGTTGTGGATGTTATGTAATGATCAAATATCAGTTTTAAAAAACTGATTATAGGTGATTGTCATGTAACAGTGACTAAGCCGTATATAATAATAGCTTTTCCCTCCTGCGACAGATCATCTTGGTACATTTGCGTTCCCTAAGGAGGTCCAAGGCACAGACAGAGACTATTTTACTGAAGTATTGGTTCCTCCGAGTAAGGATGCTAAGGACAGGATTCCTGTGGTGCAGCAATGCAGTTTAAGATATTTGAATCTTCAGGGAGGAAGTGAGATAGTTAAAGAGGCTACCTTCTAGCCTGTGGATCTGACATGTAACTGTGGAGTTTCTTAAAAGGAACCTTGTATGTGACTCTGCTCCCTTTTCTTCCTTCTCTTTACCTTCACTCCCAGATAGCTTGCATTTGACTGCAATGTGATTTAAAACAATGCAGTACCAGGTACATTGTTTAAGATGGGGGAAAGGAATATATAGTAATGTTAGACTGTTTTTTAGTCCCCAGCTCTTCTTGGATTTGTTCTCATTTATGCGTTAATATTTATGAACTGGTAAAATAAAGTGTCCATTAAATTGAGTCAAAGGGATTTCTATAGTCCTGTTAACTATATTAATATGGAAAAATATTATAAAAACATTAAGCAATGGCTTTATTCCACTTTTTCAGGGTAGGTTAGGGTAATGCAAGAATAAAATGGTTCTCTGAAGAAATTCATGACCTTGTGGTAAAACTTCTCAGGCTCTTTTAGATGTGGTAGTTCTTATGTTGGAAAAATAGTCTTGTGGAAAATTTTCCAGGGCTCAGAAGATGCAAAGTCTTTTTCCTAATGCATTTTGGAGTCTATGATAAAATAAAATAAGGTACTTTCTTGTACTTATAAGAGTGATGTTGGTCTCAAACTTCTTTCTCATGTGTGTAAATACTGTATCTGTAATCATTAATGCTTTTCAGTTAGTGGCATGTTTTCTGACAAGTTTATATAGAATTACAGAGGTGAAGAACCAGCTCTCAACCAAATAGTGGAGAGGATCTTCCCCCCCCCCCCCCCCCCCATACTGACCCTCTCTCTGTTGTATCCCAACGTCTTTCCAATTTGAGAATTATAGTCCATGGCTCTGTGCTATTAAATTCTCCTCTTCCAGTCACTACTGAACTCTCTGAGATGCTAAACTACCCCCTTCGATGCTTTCTATTACAATTCTTTGATAGTGATTTTGGTTTGTGGTGACTGATTCTAGGTAGGTTTTGCTTTTGTGCTTGTGGTCTAAATAATTAAGTGTACTTGTTACCCTGCTTTTTATCATTAAGGTCTGTGACCTGAAATCATGTTTTCCTCTAAGTTCCCATATTGGGAAGGGGCTATTGGTGAAGTTTTCTATGTGAGTTTTCTTGCTTCTGGGGTTTCCAAAGCTTTTTCAATGTCAATATTTTCATGCAAATATTGCAATTTGAGCGCACGTTGTTACTTATTTTGGCCAATGTTCTGCTTTCCCTGAAACCATTCCATGAAGTTGGTAAATAAAAAATAATGTACTTTGAAGTGTGTAACAGCTCTAATATCTTCTTGCTGTGTTATCTCTGTGTACCGTTTTAAGACCATTCTATGATTTGAAGAGGTGTTTTGACTGAAATCTTTATCCAGACTTGTATGCAGGCCAAAATAAATGGAATTATTTCAAACAGTCTACTTTGGTATCAAGACGTGGCCAGACTTCAGATAGATGGAACACTAGAAAGGGTTCTGAAATGTCAAAAAAGAAACAAAAGGCTGATTCATCTGTGATTAATCATTCTTAAACTAAATACCTCAGGCCGCCTGTGGTCGTAAGCGGTGCCCCTGGTATTTTATAGAACTCTAGAGCCAATTTCTTTGGCTGATTTTAGGAATTTCAGCATCATTCCTTCAGCACCAGTGAAATATGTACAGTAGTAGCCTGCAGTTCCACATCCACAAAATCCAGTATTGTGTGCTTCGTCCTCAGGAGTCCCGACTCTTTCACAGTTCCCTGACCATGGAATTTAGTTAACCTTTTCACTAAGCTTGGATTTGCTGTGTAAGCTGAAATGAGGGAGGGGAAGGGACTCAACGCACAATGTGATCCGCTATGATTTTTTTGTTATAAGCGTACGCTGTTATGATTCTGCCACCGAAATGCTGATCGGTTTGCAAAATATGTCACTACTTCCACACAAAAAAGAGCTGGTATTTTTGTCCCTCCATGATGGATCTTTTTATTCAGTGTGTACTTGAGTTGCTACCAGCTGCCCGCCGGCTTTTCTGAGTGATACTATGGTTTACCTTGACGATGGGAAAAGATGATAAACTGAGAGAAATTGGGAGGACTGGGACTTGGTCTGCTCAAGTTTGTCAGCACTTGTACTCGTGACTTTTCCAGGATTAATTCTGCTGATTTATAGTACTAAAAACGCATTCACACATTACCATTGTAATAAAGAACCGTAATATGTAGGTTGCAAAGCCATTGCCTTCTCTTGAAAAGCCATGCATATTCTGGCAACACAGGGGTTTTGGTTTTTGACAAGACTGTTTAAAAACGAACAGAAAGTCTCAAACACTCACAGACATGTTCCCCCGAAAATGACAAGAATTGTAAAGTGGAGGAAAAAATCCCTGTTTTATTTTTTCGGTGTCTTATCTGTAGCTTGTTACTTTAGCTCCCTTCGTTGTCCGTTCCTTCCTGATCCTCGTTGGTGAGGATATTACTCTACATTAGTATCAACAGCTAAAATTGCACATTCATTTCTTTGAAGCTGTGAACTTACTCTGTGCATTCGTTCTAATGGTTTGGGTTAGTGATTGAGAGAAAAGACTGCTGTTACGTGTTGACTTTCAACGTTAAAACCAACGCGATTTTGAAGAAGTCTCTTAAAATCGCTGGCCAAGACTTTCAAAAGTGTTTTAGAGGATTGACTTAGCTGTAAGGGAAATGTTTTAAGGGGCTTTATCTTTCAGTATGCATGTGTTAAATGCTTCTGAAAATCAAGTTGCTTTAATGTTCCTCAGGTTGTAACTCGTACAAAACCCCCTTTTGTGTCTGCATATTTTATCAAATATGTTTTGACTAGGAGGTTGGCTGTCTGCTTTTTTTGGTCTGATAAGTCATACGTTCTGTTACATGCAGGTTTGCAGAGTCCCTTGTAGCTTGCTGTTACCTTTTTTTTTTTTCTTCCATAAAAACTTTCTCCTTTCACCTTTCCTCGTCTAGAAGACTAGCACTAACCACTAACTACTCATAGCACAAACTGGCTAAATGGAACATGTTGGAATAAATAGCTATGAGCGTGTAAGACGGGGTAAAAAATACAGTAGGAAAACAATTTTTAGTTCTTACTGTAGTGCTAGTGATAAATAAGAAATACTTTAAAATATTTACTTTGGACAGTACCTTGCAAAGTGTTTGAGGCCACTTTCTCAGTTCCTTCATTTTTAGTTATTTCTGTCTAGCTTGTGAGTACTACACCACAGTATGAACATCAGAGAGTGTGAATAAGCCGATGGTTTCTTCTGGATAGCGGTAGCCATTTCTGAATGCTGACAGTGGATTTCTGCTTCAAATAATCTCACTTAAAAGCAGAATATCAGTTTCCATGTCGCTTTTATAGTCAATAGTTCCTTCCTTCCTTCCTTCCTTTTTTTTTTTTAAATTTAAATTAACCACTGTTTTAAGTTGGGTGTAATTGGTGGATTATTGTTTTTTCATTGGTGCATGTGCTGAAGCTGTGCTGACTGTCATGCAGCATTTGCAGGGTTAAAACCAATTGGAATCCCATTTTCCTACTAGAAACAAATATAGCTCATAGCCATGTCTTAATTTTTAATTTTCTTTTCTTTTCTAAGTATTTATAATCG